TTTGCCCTTCCTTTTTAGGTTACCGACTCATTTTCAGACAGTTATCTTTGCTCAAACCGCTTCTTCGATTGCAACGGGCAGTTCGTTTCTAGCCCACGAAGAAAGCGGCAACTGAGTCCTGCCAGCTTCTGTTTTACTGATCGACGCGGAATTTCCACACGCCCCTTGCCCCTTGCGCCCATCAGCAATCTTGGTACAAACTGTGCGCCAAGTTCCGTCCACCAAGAAGGACACTTGCCGGTATGTCCCCACGACTATGCTGTCTGTGTCCGCTGCTGTTGTGGCTGGCCACCTCAGCACGCACAGCCGTAGACGAGCTGCACGGCTACCCGAATTACGAGCAACTGCCACACCCCTGCTTTTTCGGTTCCAGATGGCTCCCCATATTCCGAACCATGTCACAGCACTTAACGGACGTCTCCCAGTTTGGCGAAGACTTCAAGGCAGTCGGAAGGGTAGGTCTTTGTAATTCATACTTTCGCTCGAGCAGGACTCTATTCACCTCAACTCTGCCCAAGGCCATGTGGCCACTTATTTGTCTGATTGCCTTAAAAAGATACACTCCTTCACTAAGCCTCCAGCAAGATCGTCACCTAAACTCCTGTGGCCAGAGGAGGGGGCTGGGCCACACTTGAGCAGGTTGCGTAAAGGTCCGGACAAGTCAGCCTCGGTAGACATGCAAGGCTCACCGAAGCGATTGGGCATGAAAAGGTTGAGCGACCATTTTTGATGTGTGACTGTAGGATGAAATGAAATGGGGCTGTCTAACCAACCCCATTTTGGCCACCATTTTGCTTGTTCGAGCCATAATTTACACCTTCTCCAAACGATCATGAAATTAACACGCCTCTCGATGGTGGGACAAGGCCCTACCAGACCAGGATTGGTTGCCTCTCGAGGCTGACCCCACCGTTTCTAGCATGTCTCCAGGTCTGCAAACATTTGAGAAAAATACGAGCAAGGCCCATTCTCATTCCGTCAACATCTTTCTTCACATCCTTTTCTCCGCTCAATGCTGCAAAGTCACTTTGTCGAGCCGTCTAGGTCCAGTCGTCTCGTGCACTCGGCGCCAAAAGTCAACTACTCTTCATCTCTGGTTATCAAAGTCGTAATGGAACAGAGGTTGCACGCATCTTCTCTCTCAACTTTAAAGGGCACATTGCGATAAATCCGGAGAAATCCACATTTCTATTCTCTGCATGGCATGCCAACAAACGGTCCACTCTCACGTATGCATATGGCAGGGCCTCGTGGGGCCCTCAGCAATACCCCCCTTTAGCCCCATCATAGTCAAACGCATTGGTGAGGTTGGAAATTGGCGAGTCGAACTTGTGCTCGGCTGTCATCAAGTAGGAAATAAGAGGCCCCGAAGCATCCTCTTGTAGAGGGAGGAAGTTGAAATGTGTAACTTGTGCTAAATTGCAAATTCATTTGTCGGTCTTCAGGTATGGACAGAGGAGTTGTGCAAAATGGACAGTGACGGTGATGGAATAACGAATGGAGAAGAACTTGGTGTCCCAGGCTGTACATG